TGTGCTATTTGTAAGGGCGAGTGAGTAACTCGGTGCTGGGCACGCGCTGCTAGGTAAAAGCTCCCACTTTACAAACCCACCTATTACGGAATATTCCAGCATTAGACTATCAACCCCCCACGATATAGGCAGCGATGCCATCCGGACTAAGCAGCACAATGCACGTATATTCATGCACCCTCGACCCGTAACTGCCGTAGGGCACATCTCTGGTCTGCCCCAACAGTCTCGATTCTTCCATTTTGGAAAAAAAAAAAAAATGACATATTCCACAGCTCTTCCTGTGACGTCAGTGAGAAGAAAGAGTCATGCCACTGCGTTGACGTGATGCATGTCGCGCTGGTATAGGGTACCATTATGGTGCAAGATCTCGCCCCGACCGCCGAAATTGCAAATGCTACAGTGCCACCAAAAAAATAAACAAGCAGCGGTAATCAGCATTCCAAATGCTTCTTGATGTGTAAACCTATATTTTGCCAGGGAGCGGGAGATCCCTTGCCGGGGGGGTCTGCTCCTTGCTTCAAGGGTAGCCTCCTTCAGTGAGCATGGCAACAGCCCGAGGGTTGATGATTGTGACAAGCTACTGTACTATGGATGAGTAGGGTCTGCGAGCCCACATTTGTCCACCACGATCAGATGCAAAAGAAAAATCAATTAAACAAAAATTTTCACACAAATTTTAACAAAATCCACTTACCGGTGAAAAAAAAAAAGAAAAAAATTCCCCCCCTCTTCTTTTTTTAAACCCCCAGTCTGCCATGTTGGCTATGCATAGTGGACTCCCGGCATCTCGCTTGTCGCCCAGCTATCTCCATATATCGGGCCCCTTCACCTTAATGTTGGTTGGGAAAGGGGGTGTATGGATATCGAACCCATTATAGGTGCTATACATGGATGCTGACTTGTGGCATCTCGTTGTTATCAGACGGAGTCACTGCATCTTGCAGCGTGCAGCATGCATATGCAGCATGCAACATGCGACATGCATCACAGCGATACGCACGCACATCTCTTTCTGACCGCTCCTGCAACATGCACCTCTGACTTACGCGACAGGACCAGCCAACAACATCCATGGACGTATCTTTGCTCCTGCTAGCGTACCTTGTAGTATAACATTGAAGCTGTACAGTAATAGGCATGTATGTATGTATGTATGTATGTAGAGTGCTCACCGCAGGAAAATAAAATGGCAAATCGAAACGCTCGAAATTTTCCCAACCCTGACTCGGGAGACCTTCTAGATTGTTTTCCGCGCGTGTTCTCTTCCTAAACGGGAAAAAATGACACTCCTCTCCCAAAATATAGGAGGAGAGGGTGACCAGCAAATCAAACTTGGGATTTTCTCTTGTTTTGCCTTGATTAACTGGTTATAATACCCAGTAGCTTAATTTACCAGCTCTATGGAAATCGCCCATAAAAAAAAAAAAAAAAAAAAAAAAAAACCAAAAGGACGGTCCGGACATCGTCCCTTTCCCTTCCCCCCCACTCCTAGAGCCAGGGCCGGGCCGGCTGGGACTAAGGGCAAAACCGCTCGCATTCTCTTTCTTTCTCCTCTATAATCTTCTTTGCTCTGGTCAAAGCGCCTTGGACCCTGAGGGAGGCGGATTCCCCGGTGCGAGCTCCCAGCGATTTTTTCTTCTTCGGTGCTTTTTCGTTTCAGATAGAGTCCAATTCAATGGTTTTCTTAGTTCAGGGATGTTGATGACTACGATCCTTTTCCTCGCACCTCCCTCCCTTGCACCGGGATCGTCTACGTTGTGCCCCGGCGGGAGGGATTAGAATAGCCAAAAAAGCTAGCACCGATTTTCTCTGCTTTTCTTCCAGGTATCGGCTTGACAGCTGCCGTTTCCAATTCTAGCCACTAGTACTAAGCAATATGCTGTACGTGTAATAAAATAGGCTATGAAAAATTTTTCTCTTCTGCTTATAGATGTTGCTTCTTTGCTGCGTGGCGTCCCGTTCCTACTCCTGGAAATAATTTCTCCGTTTTTGACAATAACCCATTACTTACTAGTATTAGGATTCTGAGGATGATAAAGGCAACTACCAGATGCAGCTATTCGTATGCGTCGCTCTCGTAATTCTCCTCAATGCCTTCTCTTTTCAGCCATAAGCAGCCTTCCAGATCTCTGGATGCGAAAACTTCATTGTAGCATCACGATCAAGGTGAGTAGGCATATCGCCAGTGTTACCGCACCGCGTGGAGCATATAGATTTCGGGCACCAACCCAGCCCACTTTGCCCTCTCGGAGATGGAGAACAGCGATCAACCACACACACCAAAAGCCAACTCAAACTGTCAAACTGTGTGTGGGCTCCTATTTCATCGCAGCTTGGGACAAAGCCCTTGTCAACGCACTTTGGCCGATCGCACGCCCAAAAAATTGAGCGGAATCAACCCTGGACAGCGCTGCTACAGCAGAGTCGCGCTACACTAGTCAGTTGCGCACTACTAGCATTACGGTCCGTTTCCGAACGGTCCTAATTAGTGACCGCTGTCAAAGCAAAGAGCTACCAAACCCAGCATTTCGGAATCCTGCCCACCCCGGCCCATGAGCGCCGATTCCGAGCCGCCCCTCGCTCCGCTGAAGAATTTCTTCTTCGAACATTCCAAAATATGGGGCGCCCTTCCTTGCCAAATTTCCCATGCCCCGTCGGCAAAATGGCTCGGCATGGCGAAAGCGTGGCAGCGGCAAAGCGGTCGTTGACCGATCGGCTAAAGGGCAACGTTGCAGGCTTTATACGAAAGGACCCTATCGTGAACTTTTGTTGCACGGGAGAGAAAACCGGTGCGGTGTGGCTGCGGTGTGTTCGGTCTGAGACTTTTGGTTTTTTTGCGCGATTGCTTCATTGCCCCGAATGACTACGTATCCCTTAAACTTTCCTCTTTTGCTTCATGTCTGATCAGTGACATCTCGTCTTTGGGGACAATATTCGGTACTCGCTCGTCAATGCCGTGGCATGGGGCGCGCGACTATATCTGCTTTGAGCAACTATCTTTATGCCTAGCATCCTTCTTGTAACAGCGCTCCCTTTGCTGCTATGCCGTGAAACCGGCAAACCCGCCCAAGCATTAGAAAGCTCAATCAAAACGAAAGCAACAATGATGACTCGCGACAGCCACGACCGCCGAAAAGATGCAAGCCTCGTCACAATGGGTGAAAGGATGGCGACAGCCGGGCGATTGACTAGGCAAGCAACTTGAGAATTTAGGCACCTACATTTCTGTCTTTACTTGTGATCCTTTGGCTTACTTACCCTCGGGAGCATCCAAGGGTCTTCCGAGCTCGGTAAATGAGCTCTTCTCGGCTCTCCGGCTTCTTGGGATTTTGGCACATGTTTTTTTTAGCCAGGACAGCCCAGCTTTACCCCGTACTTGAGAAGCCACAGGAAACAAGAGTTCGGATTTCTCTCGGGTAAACTAAAATTAAGCAAAGATGGCGTCAAAATGAAGGAGGAGATTCTGGCTGGGGGGGCGTGTGTGTGTTGTGTGTGTGGCTTTCAGATGCTTGCTTTGTCGGCTACGTCGCTACCCAAAGTTTCCCGAGCTATTGCGAGTAGGCCGCCCAGCTTTGGCGTTGGCGTTGGCGTTTTTTGCCGACGAGAAGAGCCGCACACCCCTAGCTGTTCCGACCGATTCAGAAACCCAGCTATTGCTTGTCTCAAGCCACAATACAGCAAATGAAACTCAGATTTAGGTGAGCTAAACAGGTGTGGCTGGCGTTTCCCAAGCTTCCCCGGCACGATTTTTGTGGCGGCGGCCCCAGTCCTCAATTTCTCGGAAGCGCTTCCCCGGCCGGCGTCTCTCGCTACCGTCCAACGACAGCCCCTGTCTCCTCTTTTCCCAAAAAGCAAGCAGAGACGCTCGGATTGTCAAATCTCGACTAGGATCGTGAAGTTTTCCCTTTTGGGAACCGGCGCAAAGGGCACGGAGCGAACTATTACTGGTTTCCAAACCCACCGTCCCCTTGCTTCTTTTAAACCTGGGAGAGGGAACGAAGAGCGACGGGCAACCAGCGCCATGGAGCGTTCCCGAGTTGAGCTCCCCCCTGCCCTGCATGTGAAGCTTTCAAAGCCAACCCTTCTTGCTTCCGGTCCGGGTTTCCGGATCCCTTCCGGGTGGCTGCTGGGAGCCCTTTGTTTCTTTTTGCTGTCACTTGTAAGTTTGCTGGTGTTGGGTGTTTGTGGCCGTTGCTTCGAAGAGTGTTTCCTGCCCGTGATATCGCCGACCTGCGGCTGAGAAAAACAAAGTCTACCTGTCACAAGTCATGTTCCTGCATACTTTAGTAGGTATCACTATTTTATAGACTATATGTATCGCGATTCAAGTGAAAGGGGAGGGGGGGCCTGCAGCTGAAAAAGCTTCCCAAAATCGCGGGACACCGGCCTGAACAGCCATGGAACCGAATCCTTGGGAAGGGGAGATGAAAGGGAAGTCAGGCAGCCATAGCAAGAGGGGACGAAAAAGAAAAGAAAAGATTGCAAAATTTGACACCCTACCCGACCCGACGGCGCGGAAAATGACAAGAGAGATCAAATTTCCAAAGGGTAGCAATGTCAAAAGTTTACAGTAGCAATCCCCCTCTTTGCTCTGCCCCCCCAGACAAGGTCCCTTGTTTGACTTGAGTCTTGCTTCGCCCGTGTTCCTGGGCCCGTGTGTTCTTAATTGCTAGTTTAGCACCCCCCCTTCTTCTTTCATGCGATTCATTCACGCGGCGCTTTGTTATCCTAACTGGGGAGGGAGCTTGGACCGGGTTGACAAGGACTAAAACAAAAGAGAGAGCCCCAACTCGCGGATCTTCCGCGCCGTATTTAAAGTGAAGATCCACAAAAAGCGCTCCAGGAGTTTGGTCGCAGGCGGACCAGTGCTTGGGGAGAAGGCATGTGCCTCCCGCGGTAGGATTACTGCACAAAGGAATGGAGGGGGAGAAAAAATAACGCGGAGAGAGCGGGTTAGATCCTTAGTCGTTTTTTTCAATGCTCACTGATAACCCAAAGCGTCATTGGTCTAGGGGTTAGGATTCAACTCTTCCATTGTCACGATTGAAAAGTTGAGGCCCGGATTCGAGTTCCGGATGACGCATTTTTTTGAATTCCGTAGCAATTCAATTTTTTTTTCCCTCCTTCGTTTCTACGGTGCTGAGTAAAGTACACAAATGTTCCTTTTAATTTCCTTTTTTGTACTTTCTAAACTTGGTGCTTTGTAGGGGACCGAGTCTAGGCATTGCCTTGCTCGAGTATCGCCGACGGAGAATTATCCATCTGCCTACCCGGGAAAATACTTGCCTGCATGAGATCGTGGGAGAAGTATGACAAGTTCCACGGAGTTGGTCTGTCTAGTATAACGGTTAAAAGCCATTGATGTTATTCTACTGATTTATATGGTTATTGGGGGTAGGGTGGGCTTGGAATTGCCGTAAATGAAGATGGCCGGCAAATTAAGAGAATGAATCTCTAGTCAAGATATTGCCCTTCTCAATATCAAGAAAAGGCTCGGAGCCAAATAGATTAGTGATAGAATATAGATAGCTACGATGCATGTGTGAACATATACGGAGACAATGAATAGCTTCCGAGCGAGTAAAAAGTCATCCCGTTTTCTACCCCATATGCCGCAAAGAAATATATGAAAAATTTGATCCGTTGTATTAATGCAAGAGCATATCCCCCCCCCCAAGATATCAAACAACCGTTATACGGGGCTCCCATCGCCCCAGAGTTACCAAGGTCTAAACATAAACCAGCCTCAACGCCCACTTTTCCAAAGCCGATCTGAAGTCTCCTCAGTGCATCACTGCAGGACCACAACAGCGGAGCAAACTCCACCGCCTGTAAGTCAGCCTTGGGCCAGCCAGCATCCCATGCTTCAGTTAGGCAAGTTCAACGCTGGCGGTCCACATATAGGAGCTGTCATGCGCAGAAACCCACAAAGAGCATGGGCTCTCTCCCTCTCGTGAAGGATGGCGTCAAGACACAAGGGGGGCTGTTAAAATGGAGACAATAAGAGAGATCTAGATTGAAGCAGTAAAGGGAGTCACATGGCTCTCTACCCTAGATGAACAACCTGCCAATACCATGTCGCTCAGAAAGTGTATACCTATATGAAAATGGAAAATGGAGCAGAACGGTTCCCTTTCCCCCCTCCCGGAGAATTATGTATGTACATGCGCGTCAAGCACTACCCTAGAAAACCAGACGCCAAAACACCGCTGCCTTTAATCCAAAGTATGCGGGATGTCAACGACTTGTTCCCACTCTAGCTGCGCAAAGCATCTAATCGGTTTCTCATCTGATCCATCATTGCCTCGGCGTCTTCTTCGTCCTCTTCTTCCTCCGCGACCGGCTTCTCCGGTTCGGGGAGCGGTGTGGTAGGCAGAGCCGTCTCTTTCTTGTCCTTGAGAACCTCTCCTAGGACCTTGTCAATCTCGCCCTCTGCTTCTTCGTCTTCTAGCATGTCCATGTCCTCGGGCAACGTCTCGTCAATCATCTCTTCGATGATGCCCGCCTTCATCAATTCGACACTAAGCTCACGCATCGTCTCAGATAGCACGGGCAATCGGATGAGTGAATTGACGTCCTTCATGATACCGACACTGGCCCGGATGGAGCCCTCGATCTTCCGGACGGCAAAAGCCTCGCTGACCTGCATTTGTACAGAGTTGAGCGTCGCTTTTGTCGTGACAAGCCTCGCCGACGCCTTCCGCGTACGCACAAGCTCGCCCGCAAAAGTTCGAATATCCTTCTGCGCCTGCTTGGCCCTTGAGGGCTCTCGCTGGGCACGCTTGTCCGCTTGTATGATGAGGTTCTTGGTTTTGATCTCGACCTGCTTGAGCTGAGCGATATCGCGATCGAGCTTTCGGACGTTGGAGCGGATCAGTTGATTACATTTTCGCATCTGAATCGAGGGTTAGTAAATTTGAAAGCCTGGCCGCATATAATCAATGCTGCTAGAATGCCTTACCTGCTGCTGGGGATCCGGCTTTGCGAAAAGGGATTTGAAAGTCTCCATTGTCGGCGCCAATCACTTTCAACAGATGGGGCTAGAAGACGATGGACAATGCGGGATGGCTGAGTGCGAGGGCTCGTGGCCCAATGCTGAACAAGGTCGCAAAACTGGCTGCCTATCTCATTCGAAAGCCTGCGCCGAGCCGTAGGGCGAAGCACAAAGACGGCGCTGGTGGAGTCGAGGCTGTGGCGGGATATGCGAGGGATGGTGAGGATTCTCTATCGCAGCGAAAAGGTCCAAGGCTGAGTTGAATTGTCACTGGGCCAAGGCGGATAACGGTCGACTCGTAATGCGGGCGGGTGCCAGCCACAGTGTGGCTTTCGCAGTGGCTAGGCAGCCCTCAGAGCCTTGCGTTCTGCAGCGCCTTGTACTGTATTTTACCCCGCTGCGGGCTCTGCGATGGGCTGCTGAGGCTGCGGCAGAAGATGAAATATCCCAGTGCAGGCTGGCCATGGCCGGCAAGAGATGCCATCGACACCGCTAGGGCATATGAGGCTTGATAATTAAGCATCTGTTTAGATCCTGTAGCATGGAAAGCCGAACGCCAGCCGCATCTGCTGCTGCTACCCCTCCCCAGAAGGCTCAATCCCCCTAAGAGCCGCGCCTGGAGGAGCCTTATCGTAGAGCCTATCGCTGCTCTGGGGGCCGTTGCATCAGGCGTCTAAGCTGTCGCAGCTGGCGTGGCGCGCCCAGCCTCCCAGATGCGAACAGGGCGGCGTTAGCGGGGTACCTGCTGTTCGCATCTGCCGCCGCGCTGCAGAGGGGTACTGCCGCATCGTGCCCCTCATCAGCCCTGCCCGCCAAATCTTTTGGCTTCTGACGCTTTCCATTCCCTGCCTCTGATCGTTTCACTCGCTGCTTGCTCTCTGTGTCCACAGCCTTATTAACGTAAGCTCTTCGACTCGACTCAGCATCCCACTAATTACACCTCAACCCACCAGTCCTCCGCGCTCGACCAACTTCCCACCAGCTTGCTTCGCCAATCGATCCTTTCCTTCGACAACAATCCTCACATACACTATGGCTCAGACATTGACCCCCGAAGGTGTGTAATTGTCACGCTGCGTGCATGCCCCGCTACGCCGCGCAGGATTCTCTCCCCATCACGGCCTTATGATGCGTTGCAACAGCCGCGTCTCCTCTGCCCCCGACTTGCCCCCAATTCGCTCTGATCGCTTCGCTGTTGTTGGAACATGCCATCTAACCAAGTTGATTTCGCGCCATAGTTCTCTGGGCCCAGCGCTCTTCTGTGGCCGATGCCTCCAAGAACTTCGTCTACCTCACCATTTCCGTTCCCGATGTCTCCAAGGAGGACCTGCAGCTGGACGTGCAGGCTAACAAGGTGACCTTCACTGGAAAGTCAGCCACCCTCAAGAACACCTACCATGTTGAGCTGGAGCTGTTTGCCGAGATCGACCCCGCCGAGAGCAAGATCAACCACACTGCCAAGAACGTCGAGATGAAGCTGCAGAAGAAGGAGCTCAAGGAGGAGTACTGGCCCCGGTTGCTCAAGGACAGCAAGAAGCTGCACTTCCTCAAGACCGATTTCGACAAGTGGGTTGATGAGGACGAGCAGAACGAGGCTGCTGATGACGACATGTCCAAGTTCGGTGATATGGGTGGCATGCCCGGAATGGGTACGTAACATTGAACTACCTCTTTGCCCTCAAATACCCCAGTCAACCCCCCTTCTCTCTTTGAGTCTAAAAAGGCGCAAGGACATGAATCATATGAAACTAACAATCTGCCTTCTCTTACTTAGGTGGCGACTTCGGCGGTATCGATTTCTCAAAGCTGGGAGGCGGCGCGGGCGGCATGCCCGACATGAGCGCCATGGGCCTGGAGGGCATGCCAGACCTCAGCAGCTCTGGAGTCCCAGACTCTGACTCCGACGAGGAGGACGAGGATATCCCCGACCTTGAGGGTGAGGAGAAGAAGGAGGGCGAGGCCGCACCAAAGGCGTAAAGAAATCAGTTTCGTTGGATGACAAGATACTGCACACTGGAAATGGAATCTTGGCGAGTGCCTCATTGTTTTAACGGGACCCCGACGGCAAGTACTTAGGAGTACGGATTCTTCAATTTAAAGAAAAGATTTTCAAGTTATATAAAAAAAAGCGTCTTTAATTCCGAGTATTTGCCTATTGTTCAATTCTCTGCGCGTATATGTGCTTCGGAGGGTATCGAGATTCAAACAAGCAGATACACCTAGTGTGGCTATTTCAGGCGGAAGACATTTCTCTAGTCGCACCCAACTCTCAATTTCGATGTTGCCTTTATATAGATTCATGCTCTTGGAGTATCTATTACGACTTGTCGGACGTCAAAGGTTCTTCGTTTGCAACTTAAACTACGACCGGGATTTCCAAACCAAACATACTTATCTTTTGAACATGATAGTTCTTATCATAACACATTACCAGTTCCTCAGTCTCTTCGTTTGGTATTTTCTTTTTTTTCCTCGCTAAGTCCTGTCATTTCGCTAATTAATCGTGTTTTACTACATACTTCACAGCAACCATTTGCCCGCCCTAGCCCAGGAGAAACGATTAAAGATAAAAGATAAAAAGCAAATCTCGTGTCGAAAGGAGTTCATACTCCAAAGCCTCCAAAATCACAACGCGGACAATCTGATGCAGTAGCGGCATCTCCGTAGGCGACTTCGTATGGCGACTTGTTAACCTGTCGCGCGCTGAGCCAGTTTTCAATTTTTTTTTCTCATTTATTCATTGATATCTAAACCATGAGGCCCCATGGAACGCCGTCACACCTAGTATTGAAAAAAGAAGAATGCCATTACTGTCTCTAAATTAGTTGTCTATACCAATCTCTAAATAGAGAGTTGGACTTACCATAATCTCATCCTCCATAGGGGCGTCTCCGTTGGCAGGAGCAGCGGCAGGAGCGGCGCCACCAGCAGCATCATTGTTGTTGGCATTTACAAAGTAATCGGCCATGTCTGAGTCGAGCTCTTCGGCCGTCTTCTTGGCCGGGCGAGCGTTGCGGCCGCGTCGCTTCTTGTTGGCATTAGCAGCAGCAGCTCCCTTGGCGCCGGTGGCCTTGGTTGCAGCAGCATTC